TAATTTCTTAACAGGGTGACCAAGAACAGAATATTATCTCGTTACAGTTCACGGCGTCTCCTCGTAAAAATAGAACCAGTAAAAAGCATGGCTTGTACTGCCTGTTTATGAGCTTGTACTTTGGCCGTGTCCTCCATCAGGCAGGACGTCTCTCAGAGGCGGCCATTGTCACCCTGGGAGGAAGGGGAGGGGGCAGGAGGGGCAGAGAAGTGGCAGCACAGCCCTGAAAATTGAAAAATTCTGAGATGGGCAGATTTCAAAGGATTGCTGTCTTTCTGTTATGTTTCGGACGGTTTCGCTTTAAAATGTGATCCAAACCGAATTTCTCCCCCAGTGATGGCACAGGCTTTTCTGGCTGTTTTGGAAACGGTGACAGGTGAACTCTTTATGGCCTCCTCCCCACCTCACCTAATTACAGTGGTACCTCGGGTTAAGTACTTAATTCGTTCCGGAGGTCCATACTTAACCTGAAACTGTTCTTAACCTGAAGCACCACTTTAGCTAATGGGGCCTCCCGCTGCCGCCACACCGCCAGAGCACGATTTCTGTTCTCATCCTGAAGCAAAGTTCTTAACCTGAAGCACTATTTCTGGGTTAGTGGAGTCTGTAACCTGAAGCGTATGTAACCCGAGGTACCACTGTACTAGCATCGTGCTTTTGAGCTTACTTGAGTGAGGCGGAAGGTTGCAGGAATATCCTTTTGCCTTCAAGGATGCAGGAATATCATTTTGCTGGGTTTAAAAAAGGGAATCAGGCCCCTTTGAACATTTGCCTTAAAATATTGAAGCCCCTCAAAGGGAAGGATTGATGTTTGACTTACTGATCAAAGGGCAGATTCTGTTTATGCTGGCTGGCCAGGAAGCTTCTTTGAGGTGCAAACTTGAAAGGCGGTTGCTGAAAGCCACCCACGGGTGGCCATGACTTCCGGCCCTCATCTTCTAGTTTTGGCTCCTGAAGGTGCTTTTTCCTGTGGTTGCTTTTTCATACATGGCATAGGTGGGGGCTGAAAGTGGATAACCATGACCTTCATTCTCCACACTCTTATTAATTTGATTGTGTGGAAAAGACTCTGGGGAGGAGGAGTCCTAGTAGGGACTGGGAAGGTGGGAACCATCAGGCACCGCCAGAGCTATGCAGATCTGTAGCAAGATAATTTTATCTGTTCAAGATAATTATTAGCTAGTTATGACTGAGCATAGTTTAAAAGTCCCTGCCCTGCTTATGATGAAGTGCTAACAAAGAAATCCCCTCTCCCCCAGCCCTGCTGCTCTCTCAACCACTTATGGGTTTTGAAGGAAGTAAAGCTCATCTAATTCTGTAATTTTTCATAGAGCCAGGTTCATAGACAGGCTTTGATGAGACTAGCTCAGTTTCTCCAGTGTTTTTGCACGTGCCTGGATTAAGAACGGATGGATCTGTCAATTTCATTTTCCTTGAGTTTCTTGTTTTTTCCAGTCTTCGGTACAGTTCCTCACATAATCTTCAAACAAGCTGTCAACACTTTAGACCACATTTCTCCTAATTTGTGTATGCAATATTGCCTAAAATGCACACTTTTTGCAATATTCTCTCTTTGCAAGATTTGGAGAAGTGTGAATTTCAGAGGGTAGCTGCATTTTAGGCCAACTTTCATTAAAAAGCGAACCAAACGGACTTTCTCTCACTTGCCCACTGAATTTTGCCAGTTTAGGACAAACTTGCCTTGCCTTCTTGGATGTCACATTTGAGGAATTTCAGTGGAAGAGTAAAACAGTTTTTACAAGTCAAACACAATTCACCTGAAGGCTTCTGGGCAGCTCTAACATTTGGGTTGTATCTACCCTTTCAAGCAGGGGCAAAGTACCTCTGTTTTGCAGTGCCCACCCTGAGAACGCAATGGGGAGTCAGCTACTTCTGTGGGTCCACCTGTACCAAGAAGAAGTATTTTACTGCTAGAGTTCGTGAGGGCAGGTGACACTGCACACACACACACACACACACACACACACACACTTAACTGGTAAGGTGAGGCAGCATCACTTGCACCAGTGCGACACAAGGGGGCGCTGTGCTGCAGACTTTGATGAAACAATTAATGACTGCTTTCTTTGACTTTTTGAATTTAAAGAATTCACAGAACCGCTGCCGTATTGAAAGCAGTTAACTTTCCCAATTTCTTTTGCACCTTCAGCTTTTGTTTTGTTCCTTTTGTTATGAGTTTGCTCCTGCCTCCTGCTTCAGAGCCAGCTAGAAGCTTCTTGCATGTCTGTCCTCGCCAACTTGGTGCTTTCCAGATGCTTTGGACCACAACTTCCATCTGCCCCAGCCACCATGAGAACTGTAGTCCAAAACATATGGAAAGCACCAGAATTGGGAAAGTGTGATGCATCTCCTCTTGCCAATTCTGACCATGATCTGGACAGAAATCTCATGGTGAAAGCCATTCAGGTATGGATGTTTTTACCTGTTAGGACTCTTTTGAAGCAGGCATGTGGAGAAGGGTCAGACTGCATGCAGAAGGTCTCAGGTTCCATCACCTGGGAGGGCCAAGAAAGACCCTTTTCTGATGTCCTGCAGAGCCTATCGCGATCAGTGCAGAGTTGCAGACAATGCTGAGCAATACAAGGGAAATTCCTCTGCAGTAAAACAAAGTACCATCTTAATATCTGCTTTGGGAAAGGGCTGTAGGGGACATGCTTTGCATGTAGATGACCCCTGGGTTCAGTGTTGACTACGCTGAGCTAGATCAGGGTGGTGGACCATTTCTCATGGAGAGTTCACTCTTGGCTAACTGTTTGTCAGTGGGGGTGTGGTCACCTCCTTCTCTCTCTCTCTCTGTCTCCTGCTCACACAGCTCTCTCTTCAGCTGTGGGGTAGGAGATAGCCAGGAGAGGAGGCCCCTCTTCCTCTCCTCCGCAGGGGAAAGCACGCAGTTGAGCGCTCCAGTGATTCTCAAGCGACAGTAGTGATTGCTGAGCACGCTTAGGAGAAAGCAGAGCGCTTGGCCGCCTACTTCCACCTCAGCACCCCCATCTGCTCGGATGTTTCCTGAGCACCAACGACAATAACCAAGCACTCAGGGAAGACTGGAGCGCAGCAGCTCAGCTGCTCCTTGGAGTTCGCCGCTGCCACCAATGACTTCCACTCCGATGGTCTCGGGGAAGGCGAGGGGAGGGGATTCCACCCCCCACACTTCAGCAGCCACTGGCTACTGCACAGATGGTGCTTTTCAATGATTTTATTATTCTAGCACTGAAAGGAAATGTGGTAGGGGGCTGGCAGGCCACTGGAAATGGCTTGGGGGGCATAAGAGATCCCCCAGCCTTGAGTGAGATGGTGAGTGGCCTGACTGTATGAAGCACCTTCTCGTGTCCCTTCTGCTTCATTGTCTTACTTGGTGACTGCACAGCCAGTGTGTGGACTCATCCTATTGGCAAGTGGGGTGCCTGAGAGGCAGCCTATAAATGCTGTCTGTGGCATTATAATCTGTGCTGGACCATTCACATAAACCAGCCTTTGATGCTGAAGTTACCAATGGCATGCGATCACCAGCCCTTAGTGGCTGGCAGCTGCATGTGTGAATGGATTTCCATTTTTTAAGACAAAGCATGGGCATTCTCTGGACGGGAGACTTGGCCCACAGAGGTATATCAACCACTGGATTTATCATCCCTTGATGACTCATGGCTGAATGTGTGAATGGAGTGCAACTCCACTGCAACGCCTCAAGGCAATGTGAGGAGAAAGGAAATTTTCAGCTGTGGTAATATAGGAAGGCATTGATTTCCATTCCATCCATCTACGTCATGGGCAGTGCTGTTTCTGTTCTGCTGCAATTTGGCTTCCTCTTGCTGTCTTCTATGGCAGAATTTGCATAATTACATTATCCATATGTTATTCCACAGCATTTCAAGTCAAAGGCCATTCATTTCATAGCAAAGGAAAAGCAGTACAAATGGAGGGGAAACACCATCAATCAGAAGGTGGTGGATTTCTTTGGAGGTTTCAAAGCAGAGGTTGGATGGCCGTCTGCCATGGATGCTTTAGCTGAGATTCCTGCATTGCAGGGGGTTGGACTAGATGACCCTTGGGTCCCTTCCAACTCTACAATTCTGTTATTTTAATTATGCTTCATTTGCCAACACAAAGCAGCAACAGCAGCATATACTGATCATACTTGCTGGATTAATTTCCATTCTGGACATGGGACAAATAAGTGGCCATCCCCAATTTTCATTCTTGTTTCACTTGCATTGGAATTATTTGGCATCCCTAATTGTTCATAGTAGCATTTATCATTTTGATGACTTTTCACACTTGCAAGGCGTCACTCATTGAAGGGTGGAGCATCCAACGGGGAGGCAGTCTTAGTTTTTGCCCAGGACTGACTTTTCCCCATGAAATGGTGACTCTGAAGGGACTGCACGACTCTTAACTGTGAAATGGCTGCAGTGCAGACCTGGCGAAAGCACCACGCCTTTATTCCACAGCTGGGACAAGGGCCTGCTATGAGCTGCCCAGCAGAAAGGTGGGATAAAATTTAATAAGAATAGTAATGTCCTTTCATGGGATGCCTGCCAAATAATAATAATAATAATTTTTGTTATTTATACCCTGCCTTCCCCACCCAAGACCGGGCCCAGGGCGGCTAACAACCAATAATAAAAACAAGTTGATTAAAATACAACTTAAAAACAAGATTAAAATACAACATTAAAACATTAAGATGCAGCCTCTTCACAGGAGTAGAAAGGAAAAAATAAAGAGGGGGAGGGAATCTAATTGATTCAAAGCCAAAGGCCAGGTGGAACAACTCTGTCTTACAGGCCCTGCAGAAGGAAATCAGATCACACAGGGCCCTGGTCTCATGAGACAGAGTGTTCCACCGGGCCAGAGCCAGTGTTGAAAAGGCCCTGGCACTGGTTGAGGCTAATCTAACTTCCTTAGGGCCCAGGACCTCTAGGGTGTTGCTATTTATGGACCTTAAGGTCCTCTGTGGGGCATACCAGGAGAGAAACAGCTGTCCCATACAGGAATTGAACCTACAACCTTGGTGTTACTAGCATCACGCTCTAACCATCTGAGCTAGCTGGGCTGTAGGCATGCATGGCTAAGGGTTAAGCTGCCACTATTTTATTTTAGCAAATACCTACCATTATGACCTACCAAAAGATCACAAAAGTGTGAGCAAGCTTTTGAGTCCACCAGGGGTCTTTCTCAGGCTGGATGTTGAGCAAAACGTGTAGGTGAGAGCCAGCAAGAAGCTGGCTTAGTACACTCCTGCCATCATATCTGCCCTGTTCAAACTCTGATTTCTGTTTCTTAGAAGCGACTGGGAGGGGGTGCGTGTTGTTGTCACAAAGAGGGTCTGCACTTCAGAACTTATCCGCTCCGCCACTGCTTCTGAAGGCTGGGAGCGGCCTTTCATAGGATGTCCCCACCTGACCCGCCGCTTTGCTGTGCAGCTCACAGCTGTTGGGGGTGCAAAGGAGGGTGTGTGTGATGGAGAAAGCTTCCCCTGCGGAGGGCAGCCGAGTCTTTAATGGAGGCTTTAAAAATATCAACAGGAAGTTAGTCCCTGGCACCCCCCCTCCTGCTCTTTCTTGTCAGCTGGCTCTCCATTATCGCAACAAAACAGTCGCCTTTTTTCTGAAAGCTGCGCTGGGCTGGGATCTCTCTCTGCCTCTCAGTAGTTGTTTGCCTCTGGCTTTGAGAGCTGATGGGGGATTAATAGGAGGGGGATGCTGTGGGGAGCAAGGCGGAGGGGTGCTTGCCTTCAGCCCTTGGCGGGTTCATGCAGAGAGGGCTTACGTGCCTGTCTCGGAGCGACTGCACCATTTGGCGGCCTGCCGTGTGTGTGTGTGTGTCTTGGGCAAATGGGAAGGGAGATTGAGAGCTTTGCATCAAGGTAATTGAGCTTCTGTGCCGGGAGAACTGGGATTCTGTAGAACTCCGAAACCGCTGTTCAGCTTGGCATGATGTCTCTTATTTTGCATAATGTCCGGTTTCTGCCATTTCAATATAATAATGATTACTCTTTATTATTCTGCTCTTCTGCTTAATGTACCCGGAGTGACACACAGCCATATAACCAACAATGTTTCGCTTCCTAGATTTGAGCATGACTTTGTTGTGAGACTCTCTTTCGTAAGCCGCTTTGCGAACCTCTCAGGGCCTTAAAGCAGGACCTGAGTATACTGAATGGATAACTGGTGTCGGTAAAATCCTGTCACAGATCCAGGGTAACAGAGTTTGGGGGTGCACCCATAACTGCCAGAGTTAGGGAATGTTGGAAATTAATACATGGTAGAATTTAGACAATATGTGGGGTATTGAATGGAAGATTCCAGGGCTGGTCTGAGACAGAAGTTGAAGAATGACAAGTCATTAATGGAAGCAAGTCATTAACCCATCAATGAAAACCATCAACTGGGTAGGAGGCTCCACTGGGTGAAGGCAGGAGGCTGCCAAGGTGATGGGGGCTGTGCCTATAGGGAGAAGGTGTCATTTTACACAAGGCTTCAGTTTTTTCTGGCCAGGGTCTTTGGGAAGGAGAAGGGTGGAGCCACAACTCAAGGCAGAGGCCATGCAGGGCAGAACCATCTTGGCAGGTTGGGACAGAGGCACTGTGAAGTTGTGCAGGATGCCTTGGACTCCAATGTTGCACTGCTCTGGGGAACAAGCCCCTCTTGAGATGTAATGCTCTGAACTCTCTCCAGTGCAGACCCAGGTGTAAGTATGTGTACAAGACACCATATTTCTTAAAGACACTACTCTCCACTGTGCCTTGATTTCCCATAGAAAACAGAACCCTAGTTGAGCATCTGGAACCCTTGGGATCTCATGCAGCTATTTGGTGGAGATTGGGGTGGGATGCAGCAATAATTATCCGGTTTTGGGGGACAGGCCAGGGCCCCATCAGGCCACCAGAAATCTCAGCTGACCTTTCTCTCTTCCACCTGAAAGATTAGCTGGCAAAGAATCACAGAATTGTAGAGTTGGAAGGGTACCAAAGGGCCATCTAGTCCAACCTTTGCAATGCAGGAATCACAGTATCACCCCCACTCATTTTTCCTGCTTTTTAAAAGGATTCTGAGATCTTTAGGGAGCTGAATTTTGTATCAGGGCCACGTTCTGTCCACAGAATCCTGGCCCATGCACAGCCCTAATTGTAGTGGCAAGGGATCCTCAGAGCCCGTGTTGCAGCCAAGATGCTTACGAACCTCCAGCCACCAAGCCTTCCTCCTTGAGCCAGTGTGGTGTAGTGGTTAAGAGCGGTAGTCTCGTAATCTGGGGAACCGGGTTTGCGTCTCCGCTCCTCCACATGCAGCTGCTGGGTGACCTTGGGCTAGTCACACTTCTTTGAAGTCTCTCAGCCCCACTCACCTCACAGAGTGTTTGTTGTGGGGGAGGAAGGGAAAGGAGAATGTTAGCCGCTTTGAGACTCCTTAAAGGGAGTGAAAGGCGGGATATCAAATCCAAACTCTTCTTCTTCTTCTTCTTCTTCTTGGTGATGCCTGTGTTGCTTCACTCAAGGCATCTTCCTCCTGCACCTTTTCCTGTGCAGTGTGCTGCTGTCTATCAGTATTCTAAGCCTTGCATTGCATCCTTCCCTGGGCAGGTATAAGGGGATTGTTCCTTGTGATCCAGGCTGTGTCAGATGCCTTTTGCCTCATGCAGTCCCCAGAGTTCCGTTGCTCCAGACATCAAAGGCAAAGGGGATCAAGGAATGTCATGGCTGCAATTGCAGGCATAGGTGACATTTCGGCATCCGACCAGATTGTGCCTTGCGCCCATCCTGGGGGAGTGGCCTGTTGATCCCCTGGGTCCCCTGAAGGAATAGGCACAAATGGGACTCAAGAAGATACTGCATGAACCCTGGCTTTAGCCTTCGTTGCAGACAAAACAACAAACATTACAATCACTATAATATCAAGTGCAGTAGCGTATAAATGAAGCAAATAGCAACAAATTAATCAAAATAATACAATTCAATAATTGGAGTCCCTGGGGTGATACAGTATCTGAAGTTGTCTCAAAATACAGTGTACAGTAACTGGACAATTCAGATACTTCAGCACCACCTAGCCTGGACAGCTGCCCAACCTCTGGAGAGCATCATGTCAGCCACCACTGGTGTAGGTTTTAATCTGGTTAGGAGGCAAATAATGGCAAGGGAGTAAAGGGGAGGCACTGGATCCCTCACCCCTGTGGCTTTCTCTGGATCAGCCCACTGACCTACTTGCTCTCGCTTCCAGTTCTCAGGATTGTCTGGGGGATCTGTGTGTGTGCAACCAGTTGCTGCCTAATGGTCCCATGCTTGTGCTCTGATGGAATCCTGCCATTAAAATAAATAAATTCTAGAGGTAGTGCCAAGCGTTCCATGCCAGATGTTCCCAGAGCCTTGGATAAAGGCTTGCAACTCCTTCACACAGTCCTGTTATCTGACACAAGTTGAGCTTTTTGCACTGGGGTCAACAGCTCTCTTAGTATCTGGCTCCTGCTGCAGCTGCACCGCTAATGGGTCTGTCGCTCAGGTGAGAGCTGCTGAGAGAGATCTGGGCATCCTTCCGGCATTCCGGGTCATTGGGAGGAAAGTGTGGAATGAGGCAGCTGCTTGCGCCTGGGGCAGGCTGACCTGCCTCTCTCTCTCTCTCTCTCTCTCTCTCTCTCTCTGCCTTGACTGTCTTCTGCAGCTACAGAAGGACTGTCAAATCCTCCTCCCTTTGGTTGGCAAAGGGACCCTGGGATTCTGAATTCTGTGCTCGAAACAAGTGACATAAATTCGCATCTCATGATTTACATCATTGCATAATTTGTGGGGAGTGTGTGAGGAGGAATTGCACAATTCAGAATGTAGTGTTCAGTGTTGTGTGTGTTGCAGTGAAGAAGGATTTTAAAAGCCTATTTGGGATGAAGGTACATGCAGAGACAGAGAACCATGAGAGAAGGAGCTATGAGGAGTGGGCTGAGCTAGTGTGGCATAATGGTTAGAGAATTGGGCTAGGATTTTGGAGGCCAGAGTTAAAATCCCTAGTCAGCCATGAAACTCACTGGGTGTCTTGGCCCAGGCACCATCTCTCAACCTAACCTACCTCACAGGGTTGTTGTGAGGGCAAAATGAAGAATGGGAGGGAGGAGAAACATGTATGCCAACTTGAGCAGCTCCAGAGAGGACCCTCCTGAGAAGATGGTGGCAGTGGGGGAGAGAACATGAATGTGTTGCACCAGTGGAACTCTTGCCCATGCCACTGTGGATGCAACCCTTTCAAGGAGGTGCACAGAACCCCAGTTTGGTACTATGCTTCATGATACAGACTAGGCCCTGTGCTGGTTTCCAAATAATTCTCCCTGGGATGTCTTTTTGGGGTGCATGGGTGGGTACTGTTTTCTGCAACTGCACCCGTGGAGGCAAAGAGCAGCTGGGAGGCAAAAAACCCACACAGGGACCCACTCTGGATCAGCAGCCCAGCCCAGGACCAGGACTCTGTGTTGCTGCTTTCCCTTCAAAATAAAGTGGCTTGGTTTGTTTATTTATGAAATTTCTATTCTGACCTGCCTCCCAAAGGAGTCCAGGGCAGTAAACACAGAAGTGATAAAATGATACAATTATCACATTTTAAACAATTAAAGGCATTTTGAAACATATAAAAACCAGCTTGTTAAGCATGCTGTTTGAAAAAGATACAGAACCTCCCTGCTTTGAGTCAGCAAGGGGGCTGCATCACCTGCCTTCGGACTGTGTCCCGGGACTCACTTGGATACCTTCCTTTCACCATGGGGTTAGCTGACCCTCTTGACTGCCCTTTGTCACACAGTTCCTCTACAGCAAAGGTAGCCTGCATGTTGCTGGTCTACAACTCCCATTATTTCTGGACCACTGCCCATGCTGACTGCAGGGGCTTATGTGAGCTGGTCATCCATCAACATGGGGAAAGCCACAGGATCCCCTAATGCTGCCCTATGGGATCCATCTGCTATCATGCTTTGGATATCCACCCCCCAACCTGGCCAAAGCAGCCCAAAGGCGTGTTGAAGGTGGACCCTGGACCATAGGAGCCAACTCCTAGAGGCTGAGATCCTTCCCCACCCCAA